TATATAGATATACTCCAACTGGAAAGTTCCCAAGGCATAACTTGTGGTTTTATGTCACTTTTTCAGAGCTTGTTATTGAAAAAGGTGTCACAAACATCACATTAAACTTTGGACCACAGCACCCTGCTGCCCATGGTGTCCTTAGACTGGTCCTTGAGCTCAGTGGAGAGGTCAGTTATTGGTTTTTTATTTATGTCCTTAGAGTTTAATATTTGGTACCTGGTCATCAGAATTATCTTAGCTAACTTTTTATATTTATCCTAAGTGATAAAATTGATAATGTTTAAACTATAAAGAGTATTCTTGGTATGATCACCACATATAAATTGTTACCATTAGATAATTTGTTCATAAATATTTTTTAGGTGGTAGAAAGAGCTGACCCACACATTGGCCTTCTTCACAGAGGAACCGAAAAGTTAATAGAGTACAAAACTTATCTCCAGGTGAGTTTTTCAGTATTTATGTACAGTCTTGTTGCATTTATGAAGCCAAACATTTTGAGTGTTGAAAACTGAAAGTAGCAATTACCTAACATCTGTATGCTGTGCTGCCTATCTGATGCACACATTTTTTACTAACAGTGCAGTAGAGGCACTTGAAATGCAATTGGATTAAGGTTCCCAGAAACTTATGTTTGATAATCAGCTAAAAAGTAATTTTGAAAAACTGGAGCTGAAAATTATAGAATGTTACAGAATTTCTGGTAACTATACTGTACCATGGAGAAATGTATTAAGGCTCACTAGGTCATCAGAAAAAGAGAGCAAAAATCAAACTTTTAAATACCATAGCTCCTTTACAGTTGTTATCATTGATGAATCTGTTTGTTATCTTTGATACAAATGCTGAGATATGTATTTCTGGGTCTTAAATTTAAATGTGAATGTAAACAGATCTTTTAGGAAATTTGAATACCATAAAAAGCATATACCTGCAATGGACATGGCATAAAGATACACATTGAAATAATTCTTCAGTGAAAATTACTGTTTATCAGTCTGTCACAAAGTGTTTGATGCAGTATAGGCAGAGCTGTACACACTGTTTTGTGTATTTTGGGAAACTTGGAGTAGCAACTTAGAACCATCCTTACTCCAAATGTATTTTTTTTGTGCAGGCTTAATTTCTTTATCCTGTGGCTTATCATGTATATAATTCACATGTTTACATGGTTGCTCAAAACTTATGTTTATTGAAGAATTTTTTGCCAAAAGCTACTAAGGTTGAAAACACACAAAAAATTTCAAGTCCTGCTTAGTGATTTAATGCTAAATTTTGTCAGAAAGTTGTTCTCTTCGCCCTTCCTTTGTACCCTGTTTATGCAAAGTTTCATAGGCTAAGTTTGTTTTTAATTTTCAGGCACTACCATATTTTGATAGACTTGATTATGTGTCAATGATGACAAATGAACAATGCTACTCCCTGGCCGTTGAGAAACTGCTAAACATACAGATTCCTGAGAGAGCAAAATGGATAAGAGGTACATACAGTAAAACTCTTTCTAAGTACCCCTATTTTTTCAATGTTTCTTATTTCCAAAGCTTTTATGTAGCCTATCTTGGCAGTTGGTAGATTTGTGGTCAAATGAGAAAATGGTTATGGAACAGCAACAGAAGCATGGAATCCTCATTATTTGCAAGAATTCTTCAAGATATAGCCATATTTATTGCTCGATGAAGCTCAAATCACTCAAACTCAACTGCTTTGCCACCCATTCATTGTTATATTGAGCTCAAAGCCAAAATGTTTTGAACAAACTATGAGGCTAAATACAGCATATTTCTCAGCTTACTTTGCCATTATTTTCACTGAATAGCAACGAAAATTATTCATGAAAAGAGGTATTTTGATTGGTTGTAGTTCTGTCCAGGGTATTTATTGCCTATGCATGACAGGACTCCATTCAACATGAAGTAGTTTGATCTTTGACATTGGCTTCACCGATTTCCCAGCATTCATGTGCTTCACAGCATTGACAATGTCTTATTTTCCCATTAATTTCGTGATTTTTTATAACTTGTACCAATAGCAAAATAGTGAAGACAACAACAAAATTATTCATACTATTGTCATTTTTAAGTTATTACAATGTCACATAATATTGATATTTTTATCTAAAAATCTCAGGGTATTAACTGATTACCTTGAAGACCCAGACCCTACATCACTGTTTGGAATAATACTCCTTACTATCTACTTATTCATTCTATCCAGTTTGAAGTTTAAGCCCAGGTGCAAGAAATCACTGATATACAATGAATCTTTTTATAGATATTTTCTCATCATTTTATGATTGTTAAAGTTTTCACTAGTAGCTTTAGTGGATCTCAAACAATTTTTTTTTATTTTAATTTGTCTATGATAATTTGATTTTTGTTTTAGTTTTATTTGGGGAAATAACAAGAATTTTAAATCACATTTTGGCTGTGACAACTCATGCAGTTGATGTTGGTGCATTCACTCCACTTTTCTGGTTGTTTGAAGAAAGAGAAAAGGTTTTAAATTTTTTTATTTTTCTCACTGCTTAACAAACACAATATTATCAGCACCTGAAGTGCAATTGTCATTGTTGATTTTCCTCTTATATTTCCAGTAAACACATTCGCCATCAGCTAGATTGTCAATTTTTTTGAAGTTACACTTCTGCAAAGCATTAAACAGAGTTAAGCTAAAGGCCTTTTGAACTCAATTCTTTCTTTTAACAATGTTGGCAGGCATTGTCTGTTTTTTCTCTCTCTCTCTCTAAACGTGAAGCTTTTCCTTTTTTGTTAGCTTCAGCTTATGCATCAAGAAATGAACACTTCAAAATTATGCAAAAATATAAGTCTCTACTAACACTATTTTACGAAGATTCATTGTTTTAACCCATCCAAAAATTCCTGTTTCTTGTATTAAAAGTTTTCTTTGCTAATTAGCAACTCTACTCTCTATTTAGTTAATGGAATTCTATGAAAGAGTATCTGGTGCACGATTGCATGCTGCTTATGTACGACCTGGTGGTGTCTCACAGGTATCCTTTATGAGCTCTTTCTTATTGTTTATTATATGACACACAACCCTATTTTTCATACATATAGGTTACTCTAATTGTTTATTGTAGGTTTTAATGGTAGCTTTCAGAAGAACACAGGTTTAAAGATATCAAATAGTATTGCATTTAATTGTAAAAGATCTTTAGCTAATAAACATTTATCATCATTAGACTATACAAAGACTAGTAACTGCAAAAAGTAGCTTGTGCTGTCGTCTATATGATCCACTCTTTGTGACTTGTTGCAATAGTTTGTGCAAACTAGAGTATCAAGGATGTAATTTTACTAACTATCTTTCCTCCAGGATTTACCACTTGGATTAATGGATGATATCTACGATTGGTTGTTAAAGTTTGGTCAAAGAATAGATGAAGTTGAAGAAGTAATGAATCTTGGTTCAAGTTGTATTCCTTCCATTTATCTCATGCCCTACCCACTTTTTAGGGCTTGTCTCTATCAAGATAAATATACACATATATATTTTGTCTCCATCAAATATTATTCAAAAAGGACTGAGCAGCGCTCAGGATCACTGAGCAAATTAAGTAGGGTTAGCAAACTTGCCAAACGTAACGAATTGAGCAATCACTTAAGTGGTCTACGTCACTGACCAGAACAGATGCCAATTTTAATGTTTGGTGCGCACTCAACAGTGTAACTCACAGTCCACACACAGTGTATTCAACAGAAAAACCTATCGTTCAATGAGTATTAATCCGTAAATCATTTGCAGATGCTAACAGCAAACAGGATTTGGAAGCAAAGATTGGTTGACATCGGAATTGTCACAGCCGAAGAAGCTATGAATTATGGATTTTCGTAAGATTTTTATTCTTTTGGAGCTTATTCAGACGTCTTTAAAAAATAAGGGAAAATTATTTTTTTTGACTAGAAAAGGAACTACCAGCTAGGATTTTATGAAATCAAGATTGATTGTGCCTTTTTTAATCATTTGGAGTGGGGAAGGGGTCCCTAAAGCTTGCAACATTTTAAGCAAGGGATTTCAAGTATCAAGTTTGCCCAAGAACTGTTTTTAAAACATTATACAGGCCATGCTGGGAATGGCGTGCGATCGCACGCCCACGCCTTGGCACACGCCTTCCGTTGCTCAGAAGTGCAGTTTATCGCACGCCTTAAATAATCTGAACACTTTATTCCAAAGTGACCAATATGGCCCAATGTAATTTTTTTATCATAATTCAACTATGAACGAAAGGTGATAATCACGCAATCGTTTCTATTTGATTTCTACTTGACGAAAAATTTGGCGAATATTCTAATTTGCTTAAAGTTATGGTAAACGTTTTCTGGATGAAAACATCCACTTCTCGATTTCTTCAGATTCTAGTAGCCGGACTTTCAAGGCACACAATGATACCATGTCTAAAACTAACAGAAGTTTTGAAAGTGGCGAAAAACTCCTGTAAACGAAGGCTTCCATAATTTTTTTATCAAAGTTTTGAGTTGAGGTCTGAAAATCGCTCGACCTTTTAGGCCGATAATCCTTGCTTTGCAGTTGTGGTCGCTTGTCTCATTTGCAATAACTGCAGTGGAATCACGATATAACGAACCCCGGATATAACGAACTTCCCGGTATAACAAACTAAATGCCTGGTCCCTTGGATTCTGCGTAACAAACTCCTTACAAATTCTTTCGGTATAACAAACCCCGGATATAACGAACTCTCGTTATCACGAACCATTTTTAGGTCCCTTCATCATAATTACCCTTGATATAACGAACTTTCATAAATTTTTCATCTGTTATTTTTGTTTATTTATTTTCGGTGTTTATTTATCACTTTCTCTTGGGGAGAAATCATTTTTATAATCGGCAAAACATGCCGATGATACATTTCAAGTACTGGCTGATAGACTCAGACCACGAGATGAAAGTTTGATTGCGTCAGAAATTACTGCAAATGAGTACATTGACACTACTGAATACCTTTTTACATATGAGACATTGGCAATGAGAGACGACAAAACTTTATTGAGAGACCCAGATGGAGAAGCAGAAAAAGACAAATAAGAATGTGAAGTAATTGAACAAATCATTCAGGCACCAACTAGGAGCGAAGTGATACCAGCTTTGCCAATCTCTTGGTCCTAAGTTATAAAAGGAACATTAAGATTTTCATTTTCAATGACCAGCCAGTTGTATTATTTGAATTCAGATTGGTTTTTTTGAGTTAAATGGTACATGTATGGCTGTACATGTGCACAGAGGTTGGAGATAGCCTAAACAAGCCCACCACAGGTTTTTTAGGCGTGAACTGCGAAAGGACCCCCAAAAAACGTTATCTCTCGGTTTAACAAACTCCCGATATACGAAATATTTTCTGGTTCCCTTCAGAGTTCGTTATATTGGGATTCCACTGTAGTTACAACCCCATGGCACATGTAAGGCTTTGTTTATTTAGACAGGCTTATTGATCTTTAAGCTTTAAATGATTTGACCCAGATTACACTGTGGTTTACGAGTGTATCTTGCAAGTGCGATCAGTAAAATCCCGTTTTCTCAGGACTCACAATTCCTCTATATACAGTTTACTTTATGTGCATTTTTCCAATCTGTATGCAGATACAAAACATTTTAGAAACTTTTACCAATAAAATGTGGGCAAAAATGTTCCAAAATTAAGAGACTTTGAATTGTGAGGATTTAACTACTGTAGCTTTCTTACAAATAATAAACGTGCAATTAACCATTTAATTCGTTCTAACACTAGTCAACAGATAAGTTTTCTTTATGGTGAAAACACAGTTAGAATTCTTAAATTTTGAGAACGAGATTGTCAGGAGAAGCAGATCAGAAGGGTTTATAAACTGCAGGATTACATATTAATAAACCTACCTTATTGTTAATGTTTTTCTCTTTAATATGTTGGGTTTGATGTTAATAAAGCTTGTTTGATAAAATGTATTGATTGGACTAGCCTTGCTTATGTTTTCTTATGATAAAGTTATGTAGTCTAGTCCTTATACAGCTGACTGTATTATTAAGTACTTTGGCGCAATACTATAGCACACCATTGCACGCCTTGGCACCACAAGGAGTGCGATTCATTGCACCCCTGCCATTTTATTCCCAGCATGGCCTGTTATATGTAATTTGAAGCTTGAAAAGAATGAAAGACTACTGAAAACCTCTTGGTCTACAATTATTTTAAAAATTCCTACTTTCTTATCAGTTAATTCATCACAACTTGCTTTATCTTTAAAGGGGCATTTTGAAGTGGAGAGAAAATTTATTTAAACCCTATTTACCTATCAACTTAATAGTATCAAATTACCCATTTAGGTAGAGTGTGCTGCACAGATGCTGCCTTTAAAGCCTGACCTTCTCGTGAATAAAGAACGCATTTTTCAGTATATTATAATTTTTGTCCAAATAATCATGTATTTCATATGAAATACTGTGCAGATGTTAATACGTGTTTTTTGAGCTTTTTTATTTCCATTTGATAATCACCATATGTTATTCATTGTTACAGCGGTGTGATGCTTCGTGGCTCAGGAATTAAATGGGACCTGAGAAAATCCCAACCATATGATGCATACGATCAAGTGGAGTTCGACGTACCGGTTGGAAAGCATGGCGATTGTTATGATAGGTTAGCTCTCTATTCTTTTTTTGTCAGATTTACACGAAAAAGTATAGAAATAGTATCCATTCGAAGACAATACTTTCACGTTTAAGAAAAGCATTCTAAGTGGAAAAGCAAACTAAAAAAGTATTATTTTATTATGTTTTGAGTTTGTTTCCTCCTTTTATACAATTTGTGAATTTGTTTTACTAAAGAGTTGTTTTCCTTGCATTTTTCTATAGTTTATTTTATTCTTAAAGGTTTGTCTATAAGATTTGAGTTGAAATGTCACCATCAGGCTTGTCTGTATTATAAAAAGTAATTAATTGTGAAAGTGCGTGTCCTTACTTATGTCTAATACCAGAAAGCTAAGCACGATTGGTCAAAAATAGGCTCATTTTTACAATGGTGACTAGATGTTTTTTTGATCGACAGTAAATTCGCGAATTAGACTTGCTAAATTGATTAAGGTACTCGTCCAAAAATCTTACAACTGAGACTGACGCTAGCCTATTGAAAACCCTTATCAGTAACTAAAGATAAAGCCTGGTCTGAGTTTGCTTCTGAGACCTTATGTTGGCTTCCACCCAACGTCTTACTGTTCCTGGTTCTAAGCACAAAATGTACGAAATCGCATAATTCAACATGAGATTTGATGCAAAGTGAAATCGGACCAACGTAGTACCAGATATTGCCCCTGTTATTTCTGTGGTGAACAAAATTTCAAATAGTGGAAAAGACTACAAGCAAACGTTCATGAAACCAAACCTCTGTAAAGATATACAAAGTCTTTTCGACCCGCGGTACTTTCTTTTGTGGCTGTTGTCCTGGTAATTAGTAAATTAATTAACTTTTTCAATGTGACAGCCTTGTTTATTCTTGATGCGGTTTTCAACAGGTATCTTTGTCGAGTTGAAGAAATGAGGCAGAGTATGAACATCATCCATCAGGTTTGTTCAGTTGAATTGAAACTTTGCTCATTACAAGTTCCCAATCGTGGAGAACAACATAAACACAAATGATCAACTTTCAGCTTTAAGCTTCACGACTGTAGAGAATCTTTTGTGACGTCACATCGTTTGCCTGCCCATTAGAACATGACACAACCCTAGCTTTTATCCCTTTGAATCTATGTTTTTTATGCTGTCTTTTACTGTCATTAATCTCATCTTCTCGTAATATCACACGTAAATGTTTTAGAAGAACTTTTAAGCATTTGTAACAGGAACGCCAACTAAAAATTACTTTATCTATTCAGCATCTTAATTTTTGACTCCAAAACTATATAGAATATAGTTCCTTCAAGTACTTACTTTGAGATTGGTTCAAGGTACTTTGCTACTCCATCGCCTCCTCGAACTCTGTGTCTCAATATCTTTCAAATAAATGCAGTCCTAAAATAGAATTGCAACCAGATTCTTCCACAAATGACAATCTGCACCTTTTATTTTGAAATTCATTTAAATTATATACTCGATAAGAAAATTCTATTGAAACAGTCATAGTAGTACGCCAGATCAAATTTATCTATTTTGATAAATTTTTCTTTTACGCCTACATCCCCTATTCAATCCACTCTGCTACCCTTTTTTCGTGGTTTTTGGTCCCTCTTACCGTAAGCCACCCTGTAAGCAAGTGCAGATAAATGCAAAATGCTAATCGATTCCTTTCTCTTTGACAGTGCCTTAACAAGATGCCAGAAGGACCAATCAAAGTTGACGATGCAAAAGTTTCCCCGCCAAAACGATCTGAGATGAAGGTAAGTTCCGTGTGTTGTAATATTCTCGTGCCATTTACGTAGACTTGAAAAATCGCAGTCCTGTATATTTCTATAGTCACAAATTGCCCCAATGTCATCTTCATTATTTAAAGTGATGTCCCAGCAATTAAATCGTAATCAATATAAATCCATTTAGTCTTTTTTTCTTCTCTTTCTCCGCCACTGTCCGCCAAGGCGTGAAGTAGGAGAATTATAAACCTCGCCGTCTAGCTTATTTTATTTCCTAATTTACTTTGATCATGGAAGCTGACTTTTAACTTTCTCAGGGGATCGCTAAAGATGGAAGGAAATGAAATTGTTACAAGAAAAGTTTTATATCATCCTCAAAGAGATCTGGGGCCTACAACTTTGAAACGTCTTATTCATTATTTTGACCTTTGAACTGCTAGTTCTCATGTCTACAACTTTGAACCTTAATGCAGACTTTTGACCTTTGCTCTTATAATTTAGGACTCAATGGAAGCACTGATCCATCACTTCAAACTGTACACCGAAGGCTACAATGTGCCACCTGGTTGCACCTACAGTGCCATCGAAGCTCCAAAGGTTTATATTTCCCACTGTTTTCTAACATCCAAAAGCTTTCCTTGTACTTGTTTCTCTAGAATTTGCGACAACTTTAAGGTAAATAGGAGCTGATAGGACAAGAGGTTGACCTTTGTTAATCATTGAATGAAAATGTCTCTAAAATCTGTTCATTTTTATTAAGAAATTGAAGTTTGATTTATAGT